GGAAACACGCCAACTTTCCTGCGCCCTGGGATGCGGGGAAAGATCCCAGACATAACCCTTGCATCTGAGTCCCTTTTGCCAAGGATCAGAGCCTGGAGAGTCTTGGAGGATTACACGGGCAGTGACCACCAGTACATTATTTTTGATGTCCTGGATGGTCATCAGAGACAAGTAGCCGCGTTTCGTCAAGTGCCCGGAATATTAAAAAATTGGACGTGGCAAAATTCAATGAAGCCATCTTACGAGGAACACCGGTGGTTCCCCCCGCAACTAGCGTAGCTCATGCAGAGGCGTTAGTTACATCCATGATGGGACTGATCGTCTCGGCTTGCGATGAGTCTATGCCTCGCAGGAGATCCCGGTGCAATGAGCGACCTGTGTACTGGTGGACTGCCGAGATTGCGGAATTGCGTCGGTCAGCATTGAGAGCCAGAAGACTTGCTACCAGGGCCAGAGAACCTGTAGACAGACGCCGTAAGTCAGATGCTTACAGAGTGGCTAGGAGGTCTCTTCGTCGAGCCATCAACCGGAGTAAACGCAGTTGCTGGGAGACATTAAGGGATGATGTCGATTCCAATCCGTGGGGCCTGGGTTACAAACTTGTAACCAAGAAACTTGGCACCCGCTCTCCACCTTCCGTCATGGATGGGGCCACTATGGTGAGGATAGTCGAGTCCCTTTTCCCGGCTCACACGTTGTGCCCACTGCGGGATTTCGGAAGGGTGGATGACGTACCACTTTTCAGTCTTGGAGAGATGGAGGTGGCCTGTCCTATCCCTGAAGAACAATAAGGCTCTTGGACCCGATGGGGTACCTGGCGAAGTCCTCAAGAAGGTTTTGACTACTAACCCCTTGATCCTTTTGCGCATGTACAACGCCTGCCTAGTCGGAGGAGTTTTCCCCTCGTGCTGGAAAACAGCTAGGCTTGTGCTTGTTGGGAAGGGGAAGGGAGACCCAGACCTGCCATCCTCTTACAGACCTCTGTGTATGTTGGATACGGCTGGCAAAGTCCTCGAGAAGTTGATCCGTTCCCGACTGAATTCAGCTGTGTATGCTGCGGGGGACCTGTCCCCTCGCCAGTATGGATTCAGGAGGGGGCAATCTACGGTTGACGCTGTTGAGGAGATGAAGCAAGCTGTGATGAGAGCTGAGGATTTTAACCACTACTCTCGTAGGGTTGTGCTGCTCGTAACTCTCGATGTGCGAAACGCATTTAATTCCGCGAGGTGGTGCGATATGCTGGATGCTCTGGAGAACACCTTCCACGTTCCGGCATATCTCATGCTTATCATAGAGGATTATCTCCGGTTTCGCCTCCTCATTTATGACACTACAGAGGGCCCACGGACAATGAGTGTCACTTCCGGTGCTGCCCAAGGTTCCATACTCGGCCCAGACCTCTGGAATGTCGCGTATGACAGCCTCCTGAGGTCTGAAATGCCTGAAGAAACTGTTTTGGTTGGGTACGCAGACGACGTTGCAGTTTTGATAGCGGCACTTAGCGTTGAGCTGGCTCAGCTAAAGCTGAACCAAGTTATGCGTACCATAAACGCATGGATGACAGACCACAGTCTCTCGCTTGCTTTGAGCAAAACTGAGATCGTGATATTAATAGAAAAACGGATTGACACCATCATCAATTCGTACTGCCAAGTACCTTGGGGTTATGGTGGACAGCAAGCTTAGCTGGCTGGATCAGATATTCCGTACGGCAGACAAGGCCGCTAGGGTGGTCTCCTCTCTTAGCCGGTTGATGGCCAATGTCGGAGGGCCTCGGTCCAGCCGTATAAGGCTGTTAATGTCTTCTGTTCAGTCCGTACTCTTGTACGGTGCTGAGGTGTGGGCAGACGCTCTCAATAAGGAGGTATATAGGATGCGGCTCGCCCGAGTGCAGCGTCAGGCAGCACTAAGAGTTACATCCGCCTACTGAACAGTGTCCGAACCCGCCGTCCTGGTGGTTGCTGGAGTCATCCCCGTCAAACTTTTGGCGGCGGAGAGAAAGGCAATTTATCAGCGTCTTGGGGAGGACCAGGCACGAACAGAGGAACGCACCCACACCTACCAGCTGTGGCAGGAGAGCTGGGAACAGGAGACTCGGGGACGCTGGACCAGGCGACTGATACAGCAAGTTCAACCTTGGGTTAATCGGCGGTGCGGAGAGGTGGACTTCTACCGCGCCCAATTTCTGACGGGTCACGGCTTTTTCCGGTCGTACCTGTTCAGGATGGGCAAAGCCATGTCACCCGATTGCATATACTGCCCAGGCATTCCCGATGACGTGGAACATACCTTTTTCCACTGCCAGCGTTGGGAAAGGCCCCGCCTGGAAGCTCAACAGTTAGTAGGACTGCTGTCAGTGGACACGGTCATACCGATGATGACGGAGGGTGAGGACAATTGGACCTGTGTGTCAAATTACATCCAGGGTATTCTCCGCGCCAAGAAGCTCGACCTTGACCGGGATGCAGTGTAGGTCATAAAGTATCTAAATGCCAAAAACGGTGAGAGCCCTGAGGGCTTAGGTCACATGTTGGCCTGACTTGAAGTAATGTGACAAACAATTCCAGGTCTGTGTCCAACAGAGTAGAGGGGTTTTTTATTGAGTAGTCTGTGATAGAATCAGGAGTCTCACACTACAGGCTGGCTACCTGTGTGCGTAAAAGCATTTTCCCTCCTCCTCCCTTAAAAAAAAAAAATATTACCAGTTCTTCTTGAAGGTTTAAGGGATTTATCTGGACTTAAATTTCTAAAAGAATAATTTTAACATACAGGGTGCCAATTAAGTCTTAGACAACTTTATAGCGTTAAAACAAAACGAGATATGACAATAACTAGTCTACTGGTAATAGTAAGCTACTTGTTTGTGTACATGGTATTTGGATGTCACGTGGGAGACGGCCAATAGGGAGTAATTTTAAAATCTTAAAGGTTAGCATAGGTTGATATGTACATCAAATCAATGGTCTTGTTAAACTAAAAACAAAGCCGCGAACCGGACCTAAAGTGGACTACCGAGTCAAAAATGGCATCCGTTCAAAGATTTATTAAATCTGCCATTTTGAATCTTGAAACGTCAGCAATTATTTACTCGGTTGTTCTTTTCAACTCAAATTTGTGGCATTGTATTCTACTAATAAAGATCTTTAATTTGATGTGCATATCAACCAATGCTCACATTTATGATTTCTTTCGTTTTCTAGCGGGCGAAGACTACCCTAAAGAGGTAGCGTATATTAATTATTAGAATTGTAAATTCAGGAATATTGGAACAGCTGTCATTTTGTACTCGATTGTCTATTTGAGGTTGGGTTTGCGGCATTGTTTTTAGTTCAACAAGACCTTTAATTTAATGTACATATCAACCTAGGCTTACCTTTAAGATTTTTAACTTAGGCCTACTCCCTATGGGCCGTCCCTCATAGGTGAGCTTTCTATTACCAGTAATGATATGGCAAATTTGGTTGTAATATCTCTTTTCATTTAAAGTTATAATGTTGTCCTAAGACTTAATTGTCACCCTGTATACACAATACTGTGTCACAAGTAAATGTATTTATATTACTATTTCTATGAATATTTATAACAATAAAAATATCTAGTGGTTGTCTGCTCACGCAACTCAGTAGGCTGCACTTTCTTCACTCTTGTCTTGCTAAAATACTTGAATTGACCTCTTCTCTTACTCCTTTTTGTTTCTGTGTGTTATACCCTATAGATGACAACAGTACTGCTGTTATCTTCTACTGATCTTCTACTTACTGATGATACAGATAATGCTGTGATCTTCTAGGCTTAGCCCGGTTAATGTGTAAAACGGTTCCAGGCTAGTGTCCAAGGAGATGAGGGAGTTTCGTAGCCGGTAGTCCGAGGACATTGATCCCACGTGAGATTGACACTACTGAGAGGACATTGAGGCCTCTCAGTGTGTGTAAATGCATTTTTACCTCCCCCCCCCCCAAAAAAAAGATGTTTCCAGGTTTCAAACTAAAACCAAACAAATATATTTTTCCAACATATATTTAACATATACATAAAATGAAAAAAAAATTATAATGTGAAAATGATGAATCTAGGTGTCTTAATGTCAATTTCGGCTGGAATTGATGACATCACTTCCGGGGTGGGAATTCTCGTCTTAGGTTACTGATCCCGGTCCTTCTCCAACCCCTAACTATTTTTCAGCCTCACACGCTCACAGTCACACAGTAAATAGTTTTTTATATTCAATAGTTCTTATGAAATCAATATTTGTATAAAATAACTACCATTGTCTTATACTGTTCAGAAATTTCAATCGCAAAGTGTTTTCAAGTTTTTTATATAGGACGACATTTCCGGCCTGCCCCAGTAGTGTTCCCGCCCCCCGCACCCAACGTGTTAACATTAAATGAATGCATTTAAATAGATAATTTTGGGGCGTCAATCACCTTTTTTAAAACAGTCCTTTGTCAATTGTCAACACAGTTAAACAAACATTTAAAATAAAAATATAAATACAAGACTGAAATTAGTTCCGATGTTTTGCCGCACCAAGTCAACGTGAGCCGTTTTCTAGGTACTTCTTTTAAAATTTCATCAGTGAATGTTAAGCAGAATATTAGGACAGTCTTTGCCTTTAAAAACACTATACAAAGATACGTATCTAAGGTGGAATCTTAGATTTCAATTTTCAGAAAATTGATAATTTAAAAGAAGTACCTTGAAAAGCGCACTTGGTATGGCAAAACATCGGAACTAAGAATTTCAGTCTGGTATTTATTTTTATTTTTGTATTTTCAATGTGTCTTTCCGTGTGTTAAATGACAAAGGACTGAGTTCAAAAAGGTGAGTGAAGGCCCAAATTTTCTATTTAACTGAACTGATACCTCACCTAAAAATACCATGTCGTTTAAAAATAAAATGAATGGTTTAAGACTTATACTGAAAAAAGTGGCAGTGATGTTGATATTTTTAAGATTTACTTTGTTGTAACTCAGTTGGTTGTTGGTTGTTTTTTTCAGCTGGAGCAATGAAAGCACTGCATGCTAAGGGTGTTGTCCACAGAGATTTAAAGCCACAAAACATTCTGTTGAGTCACTCTGGCAATAGACCTTCTCCTCAACCTCAGCACATTAAGCTAAAAATTGGTGAGTCAGATAAAAACGTAAATATATTCTTTATAGTTAACAATACTGGCCTTGACTGAGCTTTGCCTCAATAAAATATTATAGCACCACTTAAAATAAATCTGATATTACTTGATGCAGCTAGATTGCTTGCAACGGCGTTGTTTAATCAGGGATCACTTGTTTCTTTAACCCCTCTTAAATTTAATGTTGTTGATACTCCCATTTGATAAAACTATTTGCTAGTTTATTTTATTTTACATTCCAACGGACAGCTCCATTTTGATATTTCGTACAAATTAGTGCAATACAAACTAGTTAGTATCTATATATTAATAAGCAAGCAGTTTTCTTTTCACAGTCATAACTCGATAACGGCTTGACGGATTTGAACGTTTGAGTTATCAAAATAAAAGTATTTTGATGTAGATGTGCAAATACGTCTCAGAATATTAAGAAAGGGCATCACTTAAGTACAGTTAAGGGCTAAAGTTTGGGAACGATGGTACTAGCTGTTAACATTAGATCAAACTCAATTCCATTTGTTTACAACCAAACATATGGACGTAGTTTGAAATAGTTTTTAAAGTTAACCACAGACTGCAGGACTTATTACTTCCAAATCAAAGCCGGAATTTATATTTCTATTTAAAAATTGTCAATTAAGTCGGGTTCATAAAATATTTTCCTATCAAGACTTGATGAAAAATTGTTCGTAATAGTTGAATTTATTTACCTTACAACGTATTTTACTGAATTATCATGTAGTTTTAGTTACAGTTCGGTGTGATGAAGTGAATGTTTGAAAGTGATTATTCACAGTTTAGTCACCCACCCGTTACATTACCATATAAATCATACAGTGTATATCGAAATTCCTTTGTAGTGTTTTCTGTTGTTTGTTTAACTTCTGTATTTTATCTAAATTTAAAATTAAGCCTCCAGTAAGACGAAGAACTCTGAGTGGCTGGAGGGAATGTGAACATGACCGCTTGCATCAACCTCCTAATGCAACATTTGAAGGATATAGAGTGGCAGTACTACCATGGTGATACATCACGGATACATCTCCTCAGACAAATGAACGTTAAATGTTTACATTGTGGTAGCTTACATTTTAAGCAAAGAAAAGACTGGCCGAAACAGTTCAATTTTTTACTTTCTCCCCCTATACATGGTATATGGAGGAAGTATTGTTTTCGTCGGAATTTTCGAGTGACAGTTTTGAGTAGATACATCCGTTTTGGGTCACCTTTTCCCCCTAAACATAGTATATGGAGAAAGTATCGGTTTTGTCATTTCGAGTTTGAATTTTGAGTTGATATAGCCTATCCATTTTGAATCTCCCTGAACCCAAATAATTTATAAATACAAAAACTTTTTTAAAACAAAATATTTTTAAACACACTAAAAAGTAGAAAATAATTTATAACTATGTGGAGAGTATAAATACTTGTAAGATTTATAACGAAAAACGTGGGGTGCATGCAATAGATAATTTACAATTATTACCTTCACCTATTGAACTAATGGATTATTATCAATTGCATACACCCCACGTTTTTCATTTTAAATCTAACAAGTATTTATACTCTCCACATATTTATAAATTATTTTCTACTTTTTAGTGCGTTTAAAAACTTTTGTTTTAAAAAAGTTTTTTAATTAATTAACTACTAGTGGAACCCCGTCGAAATCGACGGTTAGGTTTTATGTAAATTCAGCTAACTAAGATGGATAGAGTGAAGTCATTAAATCTTAGTTAAATGAAGGGAAGATAAGCAATAATAAGTATGACGATTGTGTTCCCTAAAAAACGTGATTGATGAATTCGTTTAACACAATATTTCCTACCTTTTTATTGGCTTTAGGTTGCCCAAAAGGTTTTTAGGAGTCTTATAATTGTTTGTTCATGAGTTTGTTTCATACCAAAGCCTCTTTCACTATATGGCAGAATGAGTTAATATAATTAGTCTATCATGTTACGGAAAGAGTCAATATTTATTACTAACCACTAATTCCTTCTGATTTAGGAAAATCATTCAGATTGTATCCAGATTCATAAGTAATATTCATCTTTGGTCATAAAAATACAGAATTCTATCAGCATATTAAATAAGTTTTTTTTTGTTTGATAAAAATATTTGATTCTCCAGAAAGCAGTAACATTCTTACTTCGATGTCAGAAATTTTAATTCCTTCTCTTGCCACATTGACCCATGTATTTAATCATCCTGTTCTTACTTGATAATTCATTAACTTATGGGGTAGTTTTGCCTTAGCCATATACATTATGTGTAGATCACATAAATCTTTACATGTATTTCGTGGATTGGAATGAACCATAATTGTAGGAAATTTTATCACAAATCTTGAACATTTGCGGAACCAAATCCATAACATAGTCCAGCCTTGGTAACAAATTATGCAAATGCGATGAGATGTGATGACACTGTTGTGTTTCCGAATATTTTGTATGTAGTGAGGTTTAGATGCGTTGTTCGACCTAGCTACATGTGTACATTAAAGTAAAAACTGTGTACACATTTTTTTTAAATACCTGAATTGACATTAGTTCACCTACTTTACCAAAACTTGACTCTATTCCAAAACTCGAACATAGTTCTCATCCTCAACGTACTCATCTGACACAATTTTCAACCCGATTATCAAAAACCTGTATACCAATAAATGAATTTCAGGTGTTCTTTCTTGAATTTAAAAATAAATGGCGATTGAAAGTAGGAAAAAAGGCAAGTGCCCACCCTACAATATATATAAGCTAACCCGATAAGGAATAGTTATATGTTCCTTTGAAATTGATATGTCACACTTATTTCATAATTTAAAATTTTCTAAGAGCAATCTTATATACCAATAAATGAATCTCAGGTGTTCTTTCTTGAATTTAAAAATAAATGGTGATTGAAAGTAGGAAAAAAGGCAAGTGCCAACCTTACAATATATATAAGCTAACCTGATAAGGAATAGTTATATGTTCCTTTGAAATTGATATGTCACACCTATTTCATAATTTAAAATTTTCTAAAAGCAATAAAGCATAGATTTTTGAACAAAACATTTAAAACGTATCATAAATTCATCATTTTGTTGAAACTATAAAAAACTTGCCATGCGGTGGAGAATCCAATTAAAACCACAAATAATAATGTAAACATTTAATTTTGACAGTTTCAGTAGACCTTTGAATACAATTTTAATATTAACAGCTGGTTCATTAAAAGTAGTGTAAAATTATCCATATGGTCGAAATGTAAACAAAATTGCAGAGTGAACTTTAAAGGCCTCTGGGGCAGAGCCCCAAGGAAATTTACCTTGTTTCTATTTTGAGGGCTCACCTACAGACCAATACCTTTCTTTAGACACCCCTACCAAGTTTCTACGCCCAGCGGTTCTCTCAAATTAGCTGTGACAAAAACCTCGTTTTCCTCCATAAGAATAACATGGGATGGGAATTTAAAGGCCACTGGGGCAGAGCCCTGAGGGAATTCTCCATGTTTCTCTATTGATGGCTCATCTACAGACCAGGACCTTTCTTTAGACACCTTTACCGAGTTTCTACGCCCAGCCGTTCTCTCAAAATAGCTGTCACAAAGAAAAACAGTTTCAAATTAATATATAGATTTTCTATTTTTGGGTTTTTAATGTGCGTGGATGTTAAATCTATTTCAAGCATCTATATCAGATTAAGACAGAGGCATGTGGAAAATCTAAGGTTTATTTGAGTTACTTTTCATATAATTATGTATTAGATTGAATGTATGGCCAACCTACTAACTACAAAGATATCATTCTATTTAATTTATTGTTTACTTTAGAGAATTACTAAATAAATAACAATTGACATTATTAACAAACACCTTTGTATCTGCAATCAGATTGTTTATATTTATTTTGAAATGTTTGTATAAAGAATCTCTTGGGAGCATAACCTGTACCTCTTAACCCCTGCTCTAAGAACTGTCAAATTTAAGTATTTACAGCTGACTTAAATTTTAATTGATATATTTACATTCTTTCAAAATGTAAACATGGAAAATTTGGAAGCCCATGGGGCGTAGCCCAAGGGAAATATGAAAATTAAATTATATAATATTGCATTGTCATCCATTTGTGAGCTATGTTTCAAATTTCAAGTCTCTAGCTCATCAGGAACTTCGTTTTAAATTGATATCAAAATTTGTAGGAAAGCAAGCTAATAAAAACAAGCCCATGGGGCGTAGCCCAAAGTAAATATGAAAATTAAATTATATAATATTGCATTGTCATCTATTTTTGAGCTATGTTTCAAGTTTCAAGTCTCTAGCTCATCAGGAAGTATCAAAATTTGCAAGAAAGCGAGTTAATAAAAACAAGCCCATGGGGCGTAGCCCAAGGGAAATATGAAAATTAAATTATATAATATTGCATTGTCTTCCATTTGTGAGCTATGTTTCAAGTTTCAAGTCTCTAGCTCATCAGGAAGTTAGTATAAAATTGATTGCAAAATTTGTGCCGGACAAGAAAGCGAGCTAATAAAAACGTTTTAAAAAGTGGTTTTTGAAATGATGTCTGTGTGTGTGTGTGTCTCTGTGTGTGGATGTGTACAGAGCTACACCTGTTGTCCGATTTTGATGGAAGTCGGTGTGTAGGTACTAAACAATGGTATCTCCAGGCGTTTAAAAGTTTTTATTTAGTTTTGATTGTTAATGGGAATTTTTCCATATAAACCCATAAAATAACGGAAAAATCTAATTTTCTCGAAAATGACCTGAACGATTTTGATGGAGAATGTTATAGTCCTTTAGATTCTGAACAAAATGGTACAAATCTCATTTCCGTAAAAAATACGGTTCAAAAGTTATTGTAACCAATGTTATTTTCCCATAACAAATTTCATAAAATTACAAAAAATCGGATTTTGAAAAAAACCCAGTTTCGATAAAAAATAATGTGTTGTGGTCCTAATAATTTTAAACAAAATAATGCAACCCCCATTATTGTAACAATTACGGTTAAAAGTTATTTCACCTTTTGTGATTTTTTTAGTTACTCCCACCGCTTACCCATGATAAAGGTTATTGACAAGCTTATGGGAGAAAGTATGTGTCAGATTGCTGATACCGTTTATTACTAAATTTGTTGCCATAAATGAAAGAACCGTTTACCTCATCTGCTGAATTCACCATACTTTCAGGAACTTATTGGAAACTCCCAATAAAAAAACAGGGCTGCAAGGCTTAGATCCGATTTAGAAATTATTTGGATAAAATTTGTCAATTCAATTCCGCCTTTGCCATGGTCAGCTCTGAAGCTCATTTAGATGAGAGGATCACACAGGGGATCTACAATTTCAAGATCCATGACACGTTTTACCTCCGAGTAGGTAATCTAATTCCTTAAGAAGATCATCCTGAACACGCACATATGTGTAGTTGAGTATGACAGCACTGGAACCCAATAGTGCATAAAACACAATTCAAACAAAAAATGCCATGAAAAAATATGCGGGAATACGGTCACATTGCCAACCTTTTTGCCCAATATTTTAAAAATGTGGCAGAAATGTGTAGGGACAAGAGCTTTTAGGAGTCAAGTGAGATTCTTATGTGCATAGTTAGAGACAAAAGAAGCTACTTCCCTCTCTACAGTGATGCTACCTGAATATATGTCGCAGCTATTTTTAAAGCTGAAAACAGAGCACCACCTAGCCAAATAGATCTTAGTTCTTTTCCAAAAACTGTTCTAGATCCGTCGTTAGATCCACTTTCTTACCCTCTTATGTTCCCAACCGAAGGCTTTGTTTGGGGGCCCTAATTTAAACAAGCCTAAAACAGAACATATAGTACAAATAATTTAACAATTCTATAGTATGTGACGTACTGGTTGGCGTCAAGAGAGGGATTTAGCTTGCTACATTAGGTCTGAAATATTCTTTTACAGTGTGTGGTTGACATCTACGTTCTCATAGAGGGCCCCCGTCTACAGTACAAGATATGACCAAAGCAGTATGAGGGCGGATCTATATTTAAATATTGTAGACTACTTTTATAATTTTGTACAACATAATATTTTCCATATTTCTATAATCAGTCTTAGAAATTACTTTAGAGTGATTCTTTGATTGAGGTTTTGCTATTTATGTTTTTGTTGATTATTCTTTTATAACAAGATGCAGTTTTGCTTGATTTCGAGCAACAGGTTATTTAGTTTTAAAATAAAGGCTTTTCAGTTTTCAACAACATTTATTGTCTTCCAGCTGATTTTGGCTTTGCTCGTTTCCTACAAGATGGTGTGATGGCCGCTACTTTATGTGGAAGCCCCATGTACATGGCCCCTGAGGTATGGTTGTGGTGATATATTATACAGTGTGTTAATTCAGATAATTCAATTTTTTATTTACCAGGCTAAGTTATCAAAGAATAGTTTATTACAATGTTATAATATTATTGAAACTATGGGCTGAAATCACTTTTGTTTAAAACATAAACCTCAATGTTTTAAATCTTAATTTTATTTCGAATATGGAGGAAATGTTAGTGAACACGTTAAACCAGATAAATTAGTTTATAATTTCAATGATATATGAAGTAGTTCACATAACTGTGATTAACAATTGAAATTTTGGCAGATAAATGTGCCTGTTTTTAGTTAAGGATAAGAATAAGTATGCTTTATTGCCTTTACACTAAGGTATACATGCATGGCATTGTCAGGAATGTTTTAAAACTAAGCTTTTTAACTAATGTTTTAACTTTATCAAATTTAACATCATATATGAAATATATAATCCTACCAGTGCCGGATTTAGGGTACGGATTTAGGGTACAATTTAGGGTACTAGTACCCCTAGGCCAAATGACTTGAGCGACCCTCCCACTGTGGTGGAAATTCTTTGCGATCGCGGAAGTAACCGTGAATATCTCCTATGCATCAAGGGGACATCATCATCGACACCCGTGATCGTGAATAAAATCATGGATATCTCTCAAGTCAAAGCCATCATAGGTATCCGTGACCGCCGCAAAATCATGAAAATCCCCCGCGGTTTGCAACAAAGGGACATCAACCTCAACACTCGCGATCGCGGTGAAATCATGATCATATCCCGTGTGAGCTGTGACCTTGAGCACATCATCACTGTCACCCGTGACCGCAATAAAATCGTGAACATCTCCCGAGAGCCACAATCACTGGGACATCATCATGAAATGTCGCGAAGCAGATCATCATCAACACTTGCTAACGCGGCAAAGTCATCTTAAAACATCTCCCGTGGACTGCAATCATGAGGACATCATCATTTTCACCCGCAGTCGCGGCTAAATCGTGAACGTCTTCCACGGGCCGCAATCACGGGGACATCATCACCGTCACCCGCGGCTAAGGATATTTTGTAAACATCTCCCTCGGGAAGCCATCACGGGGACATCCTCATTGATACCCCCAGCCGCGGTGAAATCGAAATCATCTTCCAAGACTGTGGCGAAATCGTTAATATCTTCCGCAGGCCGCAATCACGGGGACATTATCATCGACAACCACGGCCGCGGCAAAATCGTAAACGTCTACCGTTGTCCGCAATCACAGTGATATCATCCTCATCCTGATGACAGTCCCATAGAGTTTTGGAGGTAAAGTCAAAACTGTTAAGTGCTTCTGCCTGGAATACATTGGCCATTTTTCCCAGGCTTACGCAGAACTGCGCCTTGTGTCTGATTCCATATATTCCAGCCCCATTTCCCGTTGGCTTTTTCGAGCCATCCATATACCAAGTGATCCCCCTTTTCATGTATTCAGGTTTCACCCTTGTCCCAGGCAGCCCTGTCAACAATGTTGACATGGTATGGCTTTTCTAGATCTGTGATCTTCACCATCCTGTCTGGTAACATTTCCAAGGTGTTCATCTGCACCTTGTCCATAATTCTTGTGTGCTCACTGGAGGCATTATACTGGAACTTTTTTTATTTGCACAGAAGATAGGTTGTTTGTTCCAGCTCTTTCATTTATAGAATCTATATTTTCTTGAATTTTTCCAAGCCTAACTTTGAATTGTTTAGTTAGTCTTTCATGAGTAGAAACCTTAATAGGATCTAGGTTAACAGGAGCCATAATTAAACAAAAAAACAGTAAAAATACACAGGACACAAAAGTTATTTCACTTCGTTACATAAAAAATGAATTAGGCTAGTTCAATTTAAACAGTTTGTAGGCCTAAACTCGGAACCAATCAACGATAAATATAGGCACTGAGTATTGGTAAAATGTTTACAAAAGTGCTATAAATGTCATAGATTTTTTCAATTGTTGGAGTAGGCCTGGATAGGCTAATGTGATTGAGAGAGTAGGAGAGATAAATATAGAGGTAGAGAGTTGAGAGTTGAGAGCTAATGAGAGTTAATGAGGTTATAAAGTTTGTCTGTAATCTTCACCAAAAGTCCAAATAATTAGTTCAATTAATTGGTCAATCAACAATCCGGCTCGAAGGACCAAAAATGTGGCGTAATCCAAAAGAAGGCTTTTTTACAAATAATAAAGTAAACTGTATATGAAACGATGATTAATTTAATTTTGGTTACAAAAAACTATGTTCTGGACCTTTGGTTTTAATTTAGATATAGTTAGTTACTACGTATGGAAGTTCTGGAAGGTCTGGTAGAGTATATTTGAGTATGGCCATACGTTTCTTCTGATGAAAAGATAGCTTCTTAAAATAACAGTATTTAGAGTTCAAAGTTCCACACATACACAATTTAATTTCAAATTAATTGGTAACAGACAAGCAAAAAAGAAAGAGTTAATTGAATGAAACAAAATAAGAGGATAAAAGAATAAAGTTGTTACACAAAAATGACATGAAGAAGTTAAAAGCACAGTTTTTAAAGAAGGGAATGTTTACATTTATAAATTTGTATTATTGTATTGTTGAGGCCATTTGGGGATTTTGTAATATGCTCTTTCTCTCTCTCTCTCTCACACACACATATGATCAGTTGGCCTGCTAATGAATACTGAACAACTATGATCGCGGCAATTGATGATCACGGCAAATTGTGCAATAACCGATAAGCCAAAACCGGCTTTTTATGTAGATTCTCGGTTTCGTTTTTTTCTTCTAAAAACCTGTAAAAATGGCAACCGACTTTAACAACCCACCCCTCCCTATTTTTAAGTGTTATTTAAAATTTACAATCAATTGTTCAAATACCTTTTTGTATAGGGTAACATATTACCATATTGTTTGAATTGTTTAATAAAACTTACTGCTGGAGTGAAGTATCGACACCGTCTTGGTTCAATATTGAATAGTTTTCATTTATTGAAACTAGGCATTCTAAGATATACATTGCTTGTGCACTATAATCTTACACACTTTAATGGTTTACTGTTCAACGTGTATGTGACCTGATTGTTGGTGTGTGGTATGTGCAGGTGATCATGTCACTACAGTATGATGCCAAAGCAGATCTGTGGAGTCTGGGCACCATTGTGTTCCAGTGCCTGACAGGCAAGGCTCCCTTCCAAGCTCAGACACCTCAGGCTCTCAAACAGTTCTACGAGAAAAATGCTAACCTCGCTCCCAAGTAAGCACTTCTCACAACTCAATTGTTACCGTAGCTATTAGAGGTGTGCGGATAGTGAAATTTCATTTCGGATCGGATAGTTGAGGCTCGGTTCGGATCGGATCGGATATTGGGAGGTTCGGATTCGGATATTTTCGGATTCGGATTTTGGCGTGGTTAATAATAAGCTGCATATGCATTTTTAACCTATAAAACACTGTAAATCTGTGTAAATAAACTTAAATGACGATTTTGAATCATAGAATTTCAAATTAGCCACGTCCACAGCTTTTTCTCTCTTGAAAATCATAATTCACAACATCTATTTTCAAAAGTTGGTTGCTTGAATTAACGATTCAACAACAGATCTTCACCAATACTTAAAAAACACAGTACCGGTACTGAAGTAATATGTACTATATTGTACACTAGCAGCCAAAATCGTCACACAACACTTTAGCTCAGCAGGACTGATGTCAAAACGTTTGGGCTTGTTTACTTGAGGTTATGTTTTATGTTGTTTCCTGGTTCTCACAAGACAAGGAGTTCTATCTCAAATTTATTTTCACATTGTATTTCCTTACGTTTTTGGAACGGATTATTGGCCTTAAGTTGCATTCTGCGGGTTTGCCAAGTTTAGAAAACATCACTAATGCACTAAGCTGGGCTCTAGATTTGATGTTGTGGCAAGTTAATTAGGCCAATTAGGCTTTATAACTCTGTAAAAGGTGTGTATCCCTGAATTTATAAATTTTATTCTACAATTATTCACTGCCAAACATAATTCAGTAGACCCCAAGTGATGAACTTGATGAACCGAGAATTACACTAGCCTACATAATTTCATTACCCCAAGTAGAATACCAAGATAATTTTTAAAATTGTGTTTGAATAGTATAATCTTAAGTTTGTTAAAAATGGATTGTATATTCAACAATTATTGCAGTCTATTATTGTTATGCAGTATGGTCACAAATTATTGTTTTTGATTTTGAAACATCACAGTTCATTTAAAAAAATTAAAGTTGAAGCAGCCCAATGTCAAGTCACGCTTGAACAATAGTTTTTTTACAAGCTTTCTTCAGACCACTGGGGAGGGGAGGGTCTGATAAGCCGTCTATAGGGTGTCGTGCCAGAAGCGACCGTGCCAGAAGCGACCCGTGCCGCTAGCGTCCCACCAATTTTCTACCGTGCCGCTAGCGACCCAAGAATTTGGAGCGGGAGGCGAGTAATGAAGTAATGCCGATTCAACTTATATTCTTAACAAAAACTAAACTGAATTTTACCATAAAACCATTTAAACGATTTGCTCAATTACATATATTTTTTACGAATGGTGTTTTTGCTCTCTCGGGGAATCAAAACGAAAAATAAAATAGGTCCCGGGTCTAGGTCTTTCAATGAGACCCACGTTAATAGATTATTCCCTACATGGAAAAGAGTATTCTAGCACAACTAAATAAAGAAGATTTTAGGTTTCTAGTCATAGTAAGGCAGCTTACAACCCCTGATGTTGTTGACCTGCTATAACGAAAAATGACTAAGACGTCTCTACTAACTCAAAAATAATAATATAAGGCAAGAAAAGGGTAGGAATTTATTGTATAAAAACTGTATATATCTATAATGACGAAGCTATCTATACAGCCAGCTGATGATTTAGATAAAAAATCCCAAAAAAAATTAAAACGCTTGTAAAAATTGTGGCTTTTGTTAGGCCTATAATCCCAGTTAAAAATGTCACAATAATTGTAGCTTTTGCACCTGCTATGTTCTTTTTTTAATAGAATGTTGTGGTAAATAATGGTTTTGTTAAGATTTAAACTATATAGCCTATTATTATTATTTTTATATTTTTGCACTGTTAGATAAAATGTGTAGGTCAATAAATCCATTGCATTGTTATTAATTATCTGCCATAGGTTATATCATCAAACAGTTTATTGATCTTAATTAATCTTTATACAAATCTTTTTTTTTTATTCCAACTGTTATTGTCACACAAATAAAAATAAATTGTAGCCAGACTGTTGATTTTTTATCAAGAAAGTCCCTATTTGATTGGCTGAGTTTTCTGAACTGAAATATGTATTTCCTAAAGATCAATTCCAGTATTTCATTTCAGTTTCGAAATATGATTTGGAAACACAATTACTTATCTATTATGCAGTAAATTTGAGGGAAGGGGAGGAATTATTTATAAACATCGGAGAGTCATTTTAAACGTAATGAAATAAGAAAAAAATTAATTAAATGAAAACAAGCTGTTGTAATTAGGCCTATGCTTTGCAACGTACAGGACGTTGAAGAAAGAGTCCAAGTATCTATTTCAAATCCTAATCCAAACATAATATGTTAACATTTGTTAACATATTATCACACGTCAACTTCATTACATTCTAAGGAGCCACTATCTCCAAACAGGCTAGTAGCAAAAATCCAAAGTTTGACGATTCGAATGGTTTCTGCTTTTTGAATTTTGTCTGGATTTTATTAGTCCAAGTTGCACTAACTATCCAAATTATAAAACTGTCTTTCCGGTATTTTGTATAACTTTATTTTTTATTGTAGTTTTTATTTTTTTTTCTTTCAACCAAATTATTACCAATGAACTGTAATGTCATGTTTTATAAATATATATATTTTTTAATTTAGAATATTTATTTACTGATAGGGGAAATTTCTCACGCACGGGCAGTAGCCTATGTGAGAGGGATTTCATATTTAATGACTATGTCAGTATATTATTACATAATGGCATAATTATAAAATTTGTACTGACAAAGTATTGTAACATAGTATTTTACTTACTGAAATAAACATTATTTAGATTATATTTGATAAACTACCTCCATGTGAAGTTTAATTTAGATCTTTTGAGTAGTTCCCGTGCGATTAAGTAGTAGGCCTATACAAACACACATCCACCATCTCATATTTACATATTTAGATAGTAAATTGAAAAAAAAGAAATATAAGTCAATTGATTATATTTGCTCTTATAAAATGATAAAAATTCAAGAAAAATTGTTTGATTAAGGTATCACACATAACTTGAGTCTATGCTAGCAGCTGGGAACTAGAGATGCTAAAACAGCTCTTTAGGCGAATATTGGGCTCTTCCAGGTAATACATATTACTATAACAAGAATAGGATTTGTTTATAAGCCATTAACACCGATTTGAACAAAACATTGTAAAATCCTTTATCAAACAATGGGTCGCTAGTGGCACTCACACTACTACCAGGGTCGCTTCTGGCACGGTCGCTTCCGGCACGTAATCGTCTATAGTCCACCCCCAAGGCGGTTCAACCCTCATTAGTGCCGCTCGACTGCACTCAGTGGGGAACCCAATACCACAAATCGATCTTTTAAATGAATAAAAATATTTGGTAATAATTGTTTTATTGATATTCACCTTGAAATTTCAATAAATTTGGTGTAAAATTTGACAAAAATTGGCTAATTTATTAATACAGTACCAATAAAGTACATTGGTAATTAAATAATAGGTTAAAAATTAACCGATTTTCGTCAAGTTTTACCCCCTGCTGTGCGCTATGTCATAAAAGCTGATAACGACATGGGTGATTAGTAACCATGGCAACTAGGCAACTTGTTAAATGCGAGATGAAGGGAAACCCAAGAAATAGAAGAACAAAGAGAAAGTATAATGACGTTGTTATCTTTATACCCTTTTTACAATTGCTGTTATTGTTATTATCTTTATGTAAGATTTTATGATTTTGTTTTATAGGTTTATAAAATAATTCTTTTTAACCACAGGAATATCAATTTATAATTTATCAACGTGCTTCTCTTCTGAAACAGCAATACCGGATGCATAATAAAGGTCAATGACCTAAAATATCACTATTGTGCAATATTGTATTTTGATGTTGAAATTCAAATCATGACAAAAGTTTGTATATTTCCCCTGGCCCCTATCATTTAATCATTTAATATAAACAATCAATCAATGCTAAATAATCGTGGTTAGTTCTAATTTTATTTTTGATTATTCAAAGTTTCTACACAATAAGACAATCCAAAGTGAAACCGGGCAATGAATACCCGAAAAACAACGTATCTTGTCCTGTGATTGGAATACCACTTGCCAGTCCTTTAGATTTAGGGAAGTAGTGCAAGTCTATATATAGCTTCAAGGTCGTACCCACCCCTTCCGCCCTCACGGCCTACTCGACTCACTGTTGCTACCCGTTACCCGGGCTCCTTTCGAGGTCTTTGCCCAACCCCTCCCACCCTTCTATTGTGTTGCCTTTCTATTGTTTCTATTCTGACTTTTTTCGGGAAACATTAAATCTATTGTTTACGTAACAGCACAGAAGTAGGATAGATTTTTATACTTTTAAACAGTACTGTAAAAAAAAACTACTACGCATAGCGCCCCTAGTATCAGGAGACAAGCACAAGTTGACCGTGGTAGTTCTTTTCTGCTTTATGTCTGTTCGTTCCAGACGAATCTAATCGTAAAGCAAAACAGCTGATAACGACTAAACTAGACATTGGTATTGCATCATACGGCTTCTTTGTCCTTTGCTGTTACGTCGTCGTTGGAAATCTATTGCTGTAATTTTTGTACTGGGAAACTAATGATGGTTATGAAGATGTAGTTTTCTGTCCAAAACGTCAAAATATGTTGTCTATCCGAAAAAAGTCGGATATATAACGGATAGTGTCGGATATCAAATTTAGGCTCGGTTCGGATACGGATATCCGAACCGAACTGAATCCGACCCGATTTTTCGGATATCCGCACACCTCTAGTAGCTATACAAGAGACAAGTGATACGTTTGATAGAAAATTTCAATTATTTTGACAGATGTTTTCTTAAAGTCATAAATGTGGTTCATTCTTATTGCTGTATCCAGTGTCATAAATAAATAAATATTATTTAGAGGGGATCTTTGAGAGGGAGTTATGTAACTCCCTACATAACTACATATACATATGTGCGACCTATCCAGCGCTTTTGACTGTGTTAACCACGACATTTT